TCGTGCATCCACAGGTGCATCTCAAGTAGGGCCAAGGAGGTGATCCTCCCCCTCTATGCAACACTGGTCAGGCCACAACTGCAGTAGTGTGCCCAGTTCTGGGCACCCCACTTCAAGAGGGATGTGGACAACATGGAGAGGGTCCAGAGGAGGGCCACCCACATGATCCGGAGACAGCAGGGCAGACCCTACAATGAGAGGTTACGGGACCTGAACCTGTTCAGCCTTCACAAGAGAAGGCTGAGTTGGGACCTGGTGACTGTCTATAAACTCACTAGAGGGGACCAGAAGGGATTGGGGGAGACCTTGTTTCCCCTAGCGCCCCCCGGGATAACAAGGAATAACAGCCACAAGTTGTTGGAGAGTAGGTTTAGATTAGACATCCGTACGAACTACTTCACAGTCAGGGCGGCTAGGATCTGGAACCAACTTCCCAGGGAAGAGGTGCTGGCTCCTACCCTGGGGTTCTTTAAGAAGCAGCTCAATGCCTACCTGGCTGGGGTCATTTGAGCCCAGTTTCCCTCCTGCCCAGGCAGGGGGTCGGACTCGAAGATCTACAAGGTCCCTTTCGACCTGACTTCTCTGATTCTCTGATTCTCTGACACCCAGGAAAAATGCCCCAATGTCCCCGGGAACCCTCCCAGCCAGAGCCTTCCGCCTGGTTAGCCAGATGGTGAGCGTGGTGGGCCAGTAGGGGGTGCTCCTGCGCCGAGTCACCCACCTCACTGAGCCCGACCACCTTACAGGCTCCGAGTGCCTCCCCGGGGTGCCTCACGTCTGGCCGACCCCCTTCCTGGAGCACACCCGCTAGCCTGGGGGTAGAACTGCCACCACCCAGGGACGGGCTTGATTCTGGCACAGTGTCCCCTGGGAAATACAGGCCTAGTAGCCCCCAAGGGTACTTGACTCTCTTCAAGAACTTGGGATGCTTCCCTCAGTTGGAAGCAGAAGTAGTAGTCTCCCTTAGACAGCTGAATCAACGGGATCCTAAGGCATAACCTAGACCCACTCCCAAGAACTCTCCCACGCTAGGTACAAAGGAGCACTTTATTGGTTACAAGGAGTAGGATTGGAATAGGGTACAGAGTTGTGTAGAATCAGAGAAATCCCACAGAGCAAACAGGGTGGCTGGGTAGCCTGTGATCTCGCATCTGAGTTACTGCGAGCTATATATCTAGTTAGATCTCAGGTAGCTTGCTCACAAGGATGCTCCAGAGGAAGGTGGAGATTCCCTCTGGAGGCAGGCAGTTCACTGATCATGAGTTTTGAGAGAGAGAGCAAGGTTCAGATGGTCCAGCTCTTCTCTCTCTCTGAGTTATCATAATGTCTACTCCTCCTCTCCTGGGCAGTCCTTAACTTATATAGACCTTATGACCTCATTTACCTGGCCCAATGGAGGCCAGCACCCATTGGCTGCCTGTCAACCAATTTGAAATGCATCCCTGGTTGCTGGGCAGAGTGGCAGAGATTCTAGCCCCCTCCCAATCAGGTTGGCATTGCTTAACAATAGGAAGTGAGAGCCCCTCACCTAGGAATGTGATGCCAGTCACGTAGGCAGAAGAAGCAGGTTTCCCCCTCCGTCAGGAATGTATCCAACTCCGGTTACAACTCAGGGTTACCTAAAGAGCCCGTATTAACCAAATTATCACAGAGCAGAGTTTTGAGGAAGAGACAGAGGTGGCATTCTGCCACAGTGAGCTTGGCCAGAGCCAGGAGGAGGTTGGCCAGGGGGTCTCAGGCCTTAGTGGGGTGACAGATGGGGGTGGGGGGGTGGCAATAAAAAGGTGTGGGGACAAGTGCAGCCAGAACCTCAGCAGCAGGTTCTGGAGGAGGAGGTGCAGGGGCTGCAACCTGGCGCACTCCAAGACCAGGTGCACCAGGGTCTCCTTCTGCCCACAAAATGGGCACGAGTTGGGGGCTGCTTTGAAGTACACCAAATACACACCCATTGTGATGGTTCCCTGAAGGAGCCACCAGCATAGGTCCCTGGTGGCGTGGGGGATCAGGGTGGAATACAGACTCTGCCACCGGGGTCCAGGACCTCAGTGCAACTGCTCCAGAGACCAGGGGTTTCTTCCCTTTGCACAGCCTCTCCTGGGGGCCTGCAAACAACCACACCATCCCCAAACACTTCCCCAAAACGGCTCCCCTGTGTTTGGCACCTGGGGTGCCCCTTCTTAGCTATACTTTATTGAGCTCTCTGCCGGAGCTCCCACCAAGTCATGGTTTGGTGGGACTTCCTTCAGCTCTCCCAGAGCCCCTTCTCTAGGACCCTTCCCTTTCCCAGATTGCCTCCCACTGAATCCCTGCACCCTGGGAGCTTAAGAGTGGGGAGGGGAAATGGTTTGCACAAACCCTGCTCCTTTAGTAAAGGAAACCATGTGATCCTGGGTACTCATTAGCTTGTGGCTCCGCTGCCCTCGATAGCAGCTCAGAAACAATTCTCCTGCCAGTCGTCCTCCCAGAAGCAATTGTCCTGGTTGCGGCCACACTCAGAAGCAGCCCTTCTCCCAGCAGCCCTCAGCTACTCTCCTCCCCAGACCTCTCCTCAGCCAGTCTCTTTTTCCTGGGCTTCCCACCCAGGAGTTGCAGGTGTCCATGTATTCTGCAGCCTTCAGCTCCAAGCTGGTTATCTCGCCGCTATATCTGCGTGCAAAGCCGGCTGCAAATCCATGTCCCAACAATGCAAACGTCCTGCTTGAGCTTGCAAGCCCTGAGCAAACCCTTCAGCACCTTTACAGTAGTGTGACAGTGTCTCGTCTGAGCAGCACTGTATCCTGCTGCTGTTCTTACCTTGGCCCCAGCGCATGAGGGGCCAGAGGAGCTGAGTCTGTCACATCATCTTGCTGATTCGACACCAACTGACAAGAAGCTGAGAGACACCAAGTGTTCACCTGACCCCTTTATAGCTGCTCCCCAGAGCAGGGCGCTGTCCCAGGGGTGCTGCTATGCAACCATCTGCTGTTCTTTGCCAACGTGCATTTCCTGGGGCCCTGGGCAGGGTCTGCAGGGAAGGGGCCAAAGACAGCCCTGCCCCAGGAGCGCAGCACCACGTCCTGCCAGCACTTTCTGCACATGAGATCGGGCCAGGATGTGGCTCTGACGTTCACGGCTCCTGACTCTCTCTTCCTCCTGCTGCCCTGGGCTGACCCCATGACCAGCAGTGGAGCTGAGAGCAGATGTGGCTTCCTCCCAGCCTGCACAGCCCTCCACAGCCTCTACAGACCAATGATATGAAGCTGATGCTGCGTCTGCCTGCTCTGCACCTCCAGCATGGGGTCACCGCAGGGAGTTGGGGACAACATGTGAAGAGAGACCTCCTGACCTTCCTGCTCTCAGGGCTGCAGTGGACCAGGGCTTTCCCTGGGCCATGGCCCTGCCCTGGGCTGTCACTACCTCCCAACACTGCCCTCCACTCCCCGTCTCCTCAGGGGTCAGCAGAGGGAGGTCGAGCTGCAGGGAGCAGTTCTCAAACCCTAAGCCCAAATGTTATTGAGTGTCCTGGCTGGTGCCTTTGAGCGTCCTTGCCAGGAAGAAGGGGAATGAGTCCTGCATCAGGAGACCCGAGGGCATCTTAGTCACAGCGATAGACAGGACTGGGCCCTGCTGTTTCCTGCAGCTGGAGTAGTTGGAGTCCTTGTTCAGAAGTGCCTAAGATCTGGGATGAGGATGGGGATGTCTTCAGGAGGGAAGACTTTAATGAGCTAAGGAGATTAATAAGAGAGATAGTGGGGACATGGAGCCTCAGTGAGATGGGAGTCCAGGACGGGTGGTTGTTCCTTAAGGAGACGATCCTCTGAGCTCAGAGGGAGTCAGTCCCAATGTGAACCAAAGGGGACAAGAGCGCTAAAAAGCCCCCTTGGCTCAGTAAAGGCATCCAGGAGGGCCAGAGGGCAAAAAAGGTGGC